TATTATTATACTAATTATATAACCGTGCAAATATCTTTAAAATCTGACGCCTCTTCAATTCAATTTACATCAGCATCGACAATATCATCTCCTAATAAAATTAATTTTGGAAAAAAATTTGGACACCTTTAGATGTATATGTTTGAGAGAGAGAGATAGATAAGAGATAAATGATTAATATAATTAGTATAATAATAACACCAAATTTAAATATAAAATTTTGTATATATACTATTTTAATTTTTTATAATTAGTATAATTCTAATAATTATTATATAATCGGTGATATGATATAACAAGAACAAAAGTAGAATATATATATATATAGTATCACTTATTAAGTGCTTGAAAATAGTGTACAAAATATGTATTATATAGCCGGACATAACAGCTGTCTCACTCAAAAACTCATAAATGCAATATTACAGGGTCATATGAAGTCTTCACCGGTCATCCTATATATTTGGCCATCTTGAAGAGAAAGGTGAAACTCCAATTTCTCCAGACCAACAGGTTCTGAACTGTATCCATTTCCTCTTGTTTTCCTTTTCTTTTTTATACATTTTTTTTTTGGTGTTTTAATCAGTGTTACAAATTTCTTGCGTTAATCTGATTTGTTGCATATGTTGTTTATTTGCAAGTTTTCTAAGCAACATAATTGATTTCCTATTTGTTGGGACACACATATATTCACTTCTCGTGTCTTTCTTTTCTTTGACACCAACTGGGTTATAGCTAGTCTTCTAAAATGCTTTCTTTTTCAAAAATAAAATAAAATATAATTATGTTGGGAAACTGATGCTTGTTTTCAGAATGGTTGGAAACCGATTTCTTTTCAAATATGTTGGTAGAGTACCGAGGGTGTAAAAAGCTGAAAATGTAGCAGAGAGGCAACTCGGGTGTATGATTTAAAGTTTCATAGCTAGAATAATTAAACTAACCTGATTAATAAAGCATTTTTACTGCATTTTTTTTTCTTTCTATTCATGCATTAATATAATTATGTTGGTATATATTATTGTCAAAAAACAACCTAACAAATTGGCTGACTGTGAAGATCGAGGTAGCAAAATGGTTTTACCTGCTCCGATGTAGCTGATATTATGGTTTTACCTGCTATATAACAGATCTGTCTGAAAAATCTGGTTTCAAAGTTCAAATTTAAAAAAAAGGGAAAAAAATTCAACGAAAATCCATCTTTTTAGACCTTCGTGGGTTTTTCTGTTTACGTCTGAATATATGGATCTATGATTAGATCAGGCTAAAAAGAGACATACTTTTAATTCAAATTTAAAATTTAGGGAAATTCTTTTTACACTACTTATTTTTCTTAATGCACTCCAGTTTTTACATTCCAGAAATTAGTTTGCTGAATGTATAATACAATTCCGAAAACACAATAAGCAGGTGGTGTAAAGAAAAAGAAGAAACAAAAAAGGGTGCAAATTAATAAAATTAGTCTAAAATTTAAAATCCAAACGTTATATATATTTCATCAAGTGATCATGAGTTCATGTTAGCATTTTAGCATGTCTATCTATTCTTGTGCGGCATGTGTTACAGTAACCTTATATTCACGTACGTTGTTGATGAATTTCGCAAGTGTACATATTTATGCCTTAGTTTGATTTTGGTATATAGCTATATATTAAAGTCATGTGTTTTCTGAATTAATTGAAGGAAGTACAATGGCTCCTGCTAACAACACTCACGATCGTTCATTATCTGAAACCGAATTTGAGATGGTGAAACACATCATCAAAATTCCAGGGCTAGAAGATCTAAACCTCAAAGACTGTTGCATCTACAAGGTTCCTTACAATATCCGAGAGGTGAACAAGGATGCCTACACCCCTCAATGGATCTCAATAGGCCCAATTCACCTTTCCAAAGAGAAATTCAAGCCAATGCAAGAGCAAAAGAAAAGGTACTTCCACTACTTCTGGGAGCGAGTCTCAAACGAAGAAGCCATGAAGAACTACAAACTCTACCTCAAGACCGAAGAAGAAGAGATTCGCCAATGCTACGCAGAGAAATTCCCTGACTTGACCAAAGAGAAATTCGTGGACATGGTGCTGTTGGATGCTGTGTTCATCATGGAACTCTTGTTGAGAAACTGTAAGTGGAAATCGGAAAACATCAGGCACGAGCAAGAGTTCCAGCCAACCGAGTCCTTTCGTCAGAGACACAGTGAGGATCCCATCGTTATGCAGCCCTGGCTCAGTAGGAACATCGCTAGGGACTTGATCCTTCTGGAGAATCAAATCCCTTTCTATGTCCTGCACAAACTCTATGAAGACGTTGTCCCTTGTCAATACAAGCAAGAAAAGCACACTGCAGGGTTTGTTGATCTTGCCATCGAGTACTTTGTTTTCTATGATACCCAAATGTCTTCTTCTGATAAAACCAAGAAACACTCTTCTGGCTCACCCAAGTCAAAGAGCGAAGATAGCTCTAGGGATCCAAAATATGTACACTTCACTGATCTGATGAGAGGCTCTTACCTTTCCCGTACTGAGCGAAAAAGTGATAATGCCCCTCATAATTTAAGAACTGCAACAAAGTTGAAGGACTCAGGAGTGAGCTTTGAGAAAGATGTGAAGAGAAAGTTACTAGACATAACCTTCGAGAAGAAGCGAATTCTGAGTTCATTTCTTTGCTTTGGTTGCTTGCCATGCCTGAACCACTTCAAGGCACGTTTCATAATCCCCCAGTTGAAGGTGGACCACACAACCGAATGCGTGTTGAGGAACCTCATTGCCTTGGAGCAGTGTCACTATCCCGAGAAGCCTTACATCTGCAACTACGTTTCTCTCATTGACTCTCTCATTCACACGCAGCATGATGTGGAGATGCTGGTTGAGAAGGAAGTGATCGTGCATGAGTTGGGGAGTGATAAGGAAGTGGCCACGCTTGTTAATGGTCTATGCAAACACGTTGTGACAAACTCAACGTGTTACTTTGAAACTGTAAATGATCTCAACGACCATTACCTGAACAAATGGAACCATACGGTGGCAGCGTTGAGGTTGGTGTACTTCAGAGACCTTTGGAGGGCAAGTTCCACTGTGGTTGGGATTGCTGTGCTCGTTTTCGCTGTGTTTCAATTCCTCCGTGCTGTGCGTGCTCTCTTCTAGGCTATTATATATTATATTTTTAATATTATAAATATGAGGAGCTGGTTATTTCATAAGTAAGTCTAGGTCTCCTTATAATTACTTTATTTAATAATTTATATTTTACTTCAAATTTTAATGAATTAATCATTGAATTTAAAATTTTTAATACATAAATCATGTATATAATTCTAAAACTTTTGAAAATTATTAGATATTTTGTTTCATTAATTCAAATTGACGAAAAATTATAAAATATTTTATACGTTGATTTGAATTAATGATACAAAGTATCAAATAATTTTTAATTTTTTTAAAAATTAGCAGACTTAATCTATGTATTAAAAATTTTTAATTTAATGGTTGAATCGTTGAAATTTGATGTAGAATATGAATTATGAAGTAACCGTCAATAGGATCTTCGGGTTCCCCACTATTTTAGTGATTGCCAAAAATTTTATCTTTATTGACGAGGTTGATGAGTTAGAGAAGAAAGATGCAGTTTAGAGTGATTTGATAATGAATTGGAGGTGTAAGGGTGCTTATTATCATTTTTTCAAACTCCCTAAGTTCATGATTTCTCATTCATCAGCGGAGTTTTCTTTAGCTTCCCAAACTATGTTCTTTTGAAGCAAATTCTTTTTCTCCTTTTTTTTTGCTTCAATTTCCTTTTTTGCGTGCCTCTTTTTCGAAATTTCAAACAATCTCCTATTTGAATTGAGGAATGACATCTTTCTAGATTGGAAGAAGTTTGAGAAGATGTAGACTTTGCCTTCTGTTGAAAGGATGACGAGAGTCCAACGTCTAGTAGGCCTCCTTAGTATAAGGGTACACAATTCTTGTACTTTAGAATGTTCTCTTTTCTAAAAAATCTTTGCATACTATGTGCCTTCTATTTTCTAATGAATGTATATGCTAAACTAAAAGATGCATGATATTCGTTTTCTGCCTAAATTTTATCATTTTTTTTTGCTAAGATTATGATGCATGATTTTTCTATATATTTATTTGTTTTTGTTGTTTTTTTTTTCTTTTAAAGTAAATTATCCTATATGATGCTTTGAGGTTTGAGTATATAGAAGGGAGTTAAATTTTTTTTTCATATTTTTTTTATTAATATCTATTTGTTTATAATTATTATCCATTCGAAATAAATAAACACAAACAAATGCAACACACATATGCTCAAACAAATGTACACCCGCGAACAACCACATTTAAATCCTTGGTCTGTGGTCCCTGCAAGAAAAGTGCATTGTATAGGACAGTTCTAATCTCACTGGTCTTAAGGCCCCCAAGGTGCCCCCATTATAGGGACCCAGTATCTCTGTCGCCATCACCTGGCAAACTCTAAGGTCTGTCACAGTATTTTGGGCTAGAGTAACCGGTTATCACCTTGAGTGTGATTTCTGACAAGGCTCGCAGGCTCCAAGGCCAAACTTGGGTCGGTCGTACGTCAACCACTCCCTATGTTTAATACCCTCATGCCCCCGGGTGTAGGGGGAACTGTTGTGTGCAAAGGTTTCGTGTACAATTTGTATTCAAATAGGTGCGGAATTTAAATAAGCAAACAGATATCAAAGCCAAACAAAGAAAACAAACAAGGTAAAGGGGAAAAGTATTTAAATTATTATTTTTATTTTATTAACTTCATCAATTAAATGGGTTTGACCCTCTTTAAACGTCCCCAGTGGAGTCGCTATCTGTCGCAACCCGAAAATTTCCGATCTTGCAACCTATGGTTTAGACATCCTTTTAAAGATCTCATCAATTAAGGAACGCCCGGACACCAGACTAATCCTTAATTAACGGTTTTGAAAATATGTTCTATGGAGTCGCCACCAATATTTTACTCAAAACATTGGAAAAAGAAAATGTTTTAAAAGGTCCAATAATGGCCTTGATAACCAGAATTGGGTTCAGGGGTCGGTTACGTGTAG